CAGGCTTCTCTCTGGAGCTCTAGTAACAACAGGTTGGTGATCCAATCAGAAGAGAGGAGGCTCAGAGCCTCTTTTCTGACTGGCTGACTGAATGATCGACCGACTGTCTGAGTGATCTAATAAAAAAATGTAGCAGATTTCAGGTAAACACTCAGAGAAACCAAATCCTGCAAGGTTGCATGGTGGGTGTGGGTGGGCTGGGCTTGGGGCATGGCTGAGAGCGGTTGTGACAAAGTTAAGGAAGTCCTGACGGCTCATTTTAAGGCTCACTTTCTGATTACAGGCTATATGCATTTCTCTGTGGACTGAGCGCTTTGATACTCAGTATAATATAGAACCTGGACCTGCTTTATAATAAAAAAAATTAAAAAAAAAGAGACATGTAAATCTCCCTTTATACAATATTGGACCTTTAAATACATTGTCACATATAATATAAGCTGTATATTGCCCCCAACAACCTCCCCCTTGTTTTTTTTTTTTTTTTTTAAATTCCATTGCCTAGTTAAATGAGGGTTACATTTTTATCTCCTCACTGCATGACTTCTAGTGTGTTTTATCATCACTAAATCATTTAAGCATGATGCCAAAATCCAAAGGCAGACTGCAGGGTTTGCATTCTGTACCACTTGCCGCAAGCACAAACAAGCCTATGGTTGCAACATACTGCAGCTTAATGTGCTTTAGCAAGCTTCCACTAAGGCAAGCAGAAAAATAACAGGTTGGATACAAATGCTGTTTGTATCAAAAAGGAAGATCTTACTACGACAATTCCCATGCCTAATTCATGAGCACTTCTCCAAGTCTGGCTATAGCCGTTTCTGCCGGCAAATATCTGACAAGTTCTGGGTCAGACCGGGCTCATCCCTAATTGTCATGACTTTATACCAATTAGTTCCTTCTCTGCCTATTTGAGGAAAAAAAAAAAAAAAATGAAGAAGCATACCTTCAAGCAGAGTGTAGTTAATGTGTCTGCAGCCTCAGAGAGAGTGCGGCGCAGCGTGCAGTCTCGCCCTGGCAGCTCAAAGTTAGAATCAGAGTGTTTCCAAGACTTAGCGAGAGGTGGCAGAGAGATAGAGGGTGGGCGAGTGGCGGGGATTAACTCCAGGGCTGGAAATTTTGAGGTTTATACCCGGCAAGCTGTGTAGCTCCAGGTATACGCAACTCGCTCCTCTCCACCTCGCTGTGGATTTCATTAATCACCACATCTGTTCATTTCAGCACAGCACACCCACGCTCAAATAACATGCACTTCACAAGCGTTCCAGTATACCATTTTACAGTCCTAACTGGAGCTGGGGGAAAAAAAAGGACGTGAACATCTTGGCAGTGTGTTCAACTGCAATTCAGTGGAGGTTGAAAATAGCTACTGCAATCATAAACCTGTTGAGTATCTGCACACTAGCACAAACAACCTACCTGCTCACCCTTATTTCTTTAATAATTTACATCTCCCAGTGAAATATTTCATTGCACATGATATACATAGTTAATATTGTCACAGCTGAGACTTGAGCCAGTTTATAGCAGGGATTAAACTTACACCCGTGCAGGTTCCCTCTTTCTTTTTTTTCCCCAGCAAGAACAAAAGCAGAATTTAACTGGATTCACAGACATGAATAGTGGGGAGATAAAAGCCGAATCAATCTGCCAAAAGCACTCATCAGACATCAGTCAAATGTTATTGCTTCCTGCCATTTGTCTTGGCGAGCTACTGACTGTTTATTTCATTGCATCCTCATTAGCTTCTGCCAAGGCGATTGCCTATTCTTCCTGGGGTCCACACAGCGGAGTTGAAACGGAGCCCAAAATGAAATGTCAATGCGAAAAATACAAGAGAAAAGGTAAAGACAGTAGAATAGGATGTAGCGTATGGCTGCTATACATAAAGAATGAGTTAAATGAAGACAGATGTGTTAAGATAAAGCTGGTAAATGCAGGAATAAAAAGACAATTCAGTCTTTTTTTTAACTGGTTTCTAAAAAAAAAAAAAAAAAAGTTATCAATAGTTGATTGTCGGTTGAATTCTGGGAGTTGATTACAGCCAATAAAAGCTGTGTTTTTTTTGTTTTTTTTTTTAAGAGGTCAGTCACAAGCTCAGGAAAAACAAAAACAAAATAAACAGCTGACCCTTGCTCACTTGCTCTGAGAATTCAAGTTGAGCTGAAAACAGGTCAGGTGTCTGTGAGGACGTTGAAGATGAGCTAACAGTAATTTCTTATTTGCGGGAGACACAAGTTAAACAAGTTAAAGAACAATCTTCTTCCCTCATTTGTTCATTATGGAGGCAGCCTGGCTCAGGCTGAAATACTTGTCACCTGTCAGGTTGACTACTAGATTTATTTGCAGTAATTTAGCAGCGTCTCTCTGACAGTAATGGACTTAGCTCGTTGTCCAGCCATGTTGCCATGTTATGGCCCAAAGTACAGTGACAGCACAGTGTTTAACCACCAGGATCTGTCAGCACTGGTCCTATAGGGACCAAGTGATGAAAAGGAAGAGGAAGCAGACTAATTCTCAATGTGAAACTGTGTGAGAATGATGTCTAAATTAAAATCTTATCAGGGGTATAGGTTGTCAAAGGCCATTCTTTTGTTAATGGTCAGTGGAGCATAATCTCAGCGGTGCCTTGGTTCATTTAACTTTTCATTTCCATGGTCTGATTAGATAAATGTCAGACCTGTGGTGCAGCAATTCATCTCCCCTTCTCTCTACCCTGCACCCCTGCTATAGAAAATCTGCTCCAGGGATGCTGATCTGTCCCTGACCCTGACCTCTGACCTTTTCCCAGGCAGAGAGACCTTCCCCTTGGGGATTAATGTTACATCCAGTGATTATTCCACAGCAAAATTTATTCTGCAGCCATCAACAAATCTCAAACAAGTGTCAAATCTAAAGACATAACTAACCCCCCCCCCCCTCCGGCGGGATTTTTCAAATTATCCCCGAGAGGGAGTCCCTCTACAGTACAACCAGTCTCAGCAGATCCATCCATGATATCTGAAGTAAAAAACCCTCTGTTCACCGACATGTTGAAACTGGCTCAGCCGACACAGACAAGCAGTCAGCTCCCGAATATAAAAAGAACAGAACGATGATTGTACTGAGATAAATGAAAAACAACAAAACAGACAAACGAGGGGGAAATAAAAACCGAAAGGGGAGATGAGGACAAAAAAAAAAAACTCCAAAACGCTTGTTCCATTAACCCACATTGACGCACCGGAGGTTGGCTCAAGTCGCGGCAGGTTGTCAAACGAAGAGCTCCCACAATCTGAGCACACGATGAAACACCGCGGAGATCACAATCACTGCCACATCAGGGGCTGAACGCGCACCTGAAATGGACGTTTCAGTCAAGACAAACACCCGTGCGCTGCTCTGCGTAACGGACAGGTAACGCGGCGCCGTGTGAGAACGGGGGAGGGGGGGCAGCAAACCTGACATTTTCCCCGCTCGACAAATGAGTGTCAGCGGGCAAAAGACGCTGTGGTGGGGTAAAGTAATCTTATCACTCACCTCGGTGGCCTCGACGTGGAGTCCTGAGCGTAGATTGTCTTGGAAAAGGCGAGGCGATGCTTCAGCGCTGCCGCCTGTCACCGGGAAGGAGGAGTTTGTGTTTACTCCAACATAACAGAGCGCACGCACACACACACACACTCACATACACATACACATGGATCCTCTTCCTGGTTGGCGAAGAGAGGGAGCCACAGTCTGGCCACAAGCTTCATTACAACACGTGTGCTTCTTTAACGATTTAATTAACCTGGAGGCATCCGCTGTGTCCCAGTCACTCCAGATATGGTTTGTTATTAGCATTGTTCCATTGAATCCATGTTAAGACAAAAAATAAATAAAAACTCGAGCTGACTGGAGTGAATGAATGAATGACTTTGTGATTTTAAGAGAAAAATCCCCTAAACTGCTTATTTATTACTCTTACTATTGTTACTGGCACTATATAAACCAATATTCACAATATATGTAGATTAGGACATTTTAAGTATTTAATTTGAATTTTAATAATATATAATAAATATTGAATATTTATATTATTATTTCAAATAGACGTTAAATTCTTATTTAAACATGTTCTGTAGGAGGAAGGTTATAATGTTAATCAGATGAGAAAATGAGTTGTATGACCTCTGTATTTTATTGTAAATTTACCTCTGTAATGTCATGTAATAAGGAAATATATTAAAATTATATGAGAGAACAGAAATCACTGCTGCTGAAATCATGATCTTTTTTCTAACTTTAACTAAACTCAGTTTAAACAGGATCAGTGGAAAAAAATGTTGCTAAATCATAAACAGATCACTTCTTGTCTGCCATCAGCAGGAACTCCTGAAGCTCCACTAGGTGCTGAAAAATAGTTCCACTCTTCCTGTCTTGTCTCGTAAAGCAGCTTTATTTTTTATCGTAAACCAACAACATCACACAACATCCCTATCATGAGCCAAACATGTCATTGTGTCTTCTGTAAAGTGATACCAACCCCTATCCCGGCTTTAGTGCTTCATTGATACATGTGACCAGATGATATCATTCCTCTTCCCGAAACTTTTTCTTTTTTTAGTGAAACCTGTTAATAATTAATCTGCATTATGTTTTATGACCCCACAGTTTCGAGAAGAGGACTTTGAATCCAGAACATCGTCAAATATGTGCGTAGAGACTGAACCACAGGAACTGGAGTTATTAAAAGTGTCTTCGACATGTTCTGAAGTTGCTTTGTTCAGTATCCACTGTTAGTACTGGCCCTTCAGAGAAGATTTCACCAACCCTCACTATACATCCAGACATGTATGAGTTTCTTTTGCTGACTCAGGTCTCATGTTTAACCTGTTGGTGAAATCTGGTCCCTACCATGACAACCAGCCCTGCCTGTTCCTTTGGAACCAAAGGTCACAGTCATAATCAACAGATTTTATGACCACCAGTCCACCTTTCACTCCTCCCAGGTAGGTAAGTCATACACAGAATCTTTAGAGCATCAGAGGGTCCTAATCTGCTTCTGAGGCTTCGTAAGAGCTTTAGAGAAGTCTACGCTTGGGATTTACATTGAACCAGTGCCTCTGGGATACAGCGATAATGCCTTCCACTACCAAGACTCTATATTTCACGTCCTGCGCGCTGGTCACTGCCATATCTGTGGGGCTGATGGGATACAGCATGTCAACACAGTGGGCTAAGATGACCATGGAGTGCGCGAGAGGAGGAAGTGGCTTCTTCAATGGAACTGCTATAATCACTCTGGAGCTCTTCAGTGGGAATTTGAACAGATCCTTTTGCCCCTTGTTTGGGAGCATTGATACATTTGAAGGTAACTGTCCGAGGCTCTCGAAGGGCCAGCTCACCCAGATCACAAGATACTTTCTCACTCACATACAGTACATATCCGTCTCTGAGATTTCCTGCCTTCAACAAACACCAGCACTGTAAAATGACATTTAAATAATTCTACAGCAGCAGAAACAGTGTCCCTGTTACTTTGAATATTTCAAAAAAAACATCCTGTCAGGCACCATGTCTTTTGTTAAAATGGTTGACTTGACCCTACCTACACCAGTGCTGCATATTACACGTGACTGGATAACATCTTCAAATTACCAGCCTGTAATCATAGTTGTATAATGCCTTGAAGATATTTAATAATGTTCTTGTGGTGTGTGTATGTGTGTGTGTGTGTGTGTGTGTGTGTGTGTGTGTGTGTGTGTGTGTAGTGATTCCTAAATTGACAGAAACAGGAGTCACCCCGGTAGTCCTGTACGCTTTGGTGGTGTGCCTGTTGGCCCTGTGTCTGCTGTTCTCTGTTTGCAGCATCCTTATCTCCCTCTACAACAGCGTCAGTAACCCTTATGAGACCTACATGGGTCCTGCTGGAGTCTACGCCTGCAGCTCGGTCAGCGGTAAGTGACACATATGTTGCGGCACAAAGCATCCGGGAGAAACTGGGAGAGGTGGAATCGTCAGAAAGAAATAAAGCACGAAATCACATTTAAATGGAGTTTGTGTTACAATTTGTGACAGTACTAACCTTTTTTTTTTTTTTTTTTT